CATTACTTAAACCCTAAGTCAACTCATGTATAAATGAGTTTAGATTTACCATGTTGATTTCTCCCTTGTACCTAATTTATTACATTTATTTATTTAAAGGGTCATGGGTTTTATTTTAATATTATGTTTCAGGTCATATTTGGCTCATTGCCAACTGAACAGACCATACTAATTAAGGAGGCCTGACAAGGAGACGTTTTCCCTCCTCTCAAATTAAGGGAACCGCCCACTTAAGGTGGGCAGTTCATTTCTTCCTTAATTAGAGGGAGGGCATGTGACACCATCTGATCAGCCACACCCCTCTCCCTCATTAAACAAACCTTGGGACTATCTCAGTCCCTCAATCAAGTTCAATCCAAGGGCTGAGATAGGTCCTAGGGTAAGGGAAGGTGAGGAGACACCCTAGGAGCCACCCACCTCGCTTAGGCTACCCTTGGAGAGAGAAATCTAATCCAAGGACTGTGCACTCTCCCCCATGATCTAAGGGCTGAGAATGGGCACGACCAAGGGAAGAATAAAGAGTCATCTAGGGGAGAGAGAAGGCCATTCTGTTCATAGGAGATGGGCACCTGAGAGGGAGAAGTCCACAAACTTCAACCCTTGATTCAATTCAAGAACTCTAAGGAAGGATCTGTTTCAGCACTCCAAATGACATATAGAAGGAAGGCATCTTTCATACATTTGGTTCCTTCATTATGTATTAAATTTTATTTCGAATGAATAAGTTTTATTTTCTTATTTCATTCTCTTCTTCTTGAGATCCTCTTATTGAGAAAGAGTTCATCGGGTTGAAGAGTAGGTAGGGATTCAATTCTTTGATCCCTAAAGTGACACTAAGTTGATCTTATGGTAAAAAAGTGACACTAGGTAGGGATTCCTTTCATGTTTTTTTGCTCCTTTTATTCATAAAATTGAGCATTCATTGGAAGTAGAGGGAGACAAGGAGAGGTTAAAAACAATTTTGGGAGTAAATTAATATCCTTTAGTCTTTCAATTGATCTCTTAAGTGATATAGAAAGATTTAATAAGATTAGAGTTTTTATTTATGCACATTAAGATTAAAAAATGTAAAATCATCCCATATTTCACCATTTGTTTCTCACTTGATTTCTTTTCTCTTGGTGACTGAAAAATTATCAAAAGAAGATTCATCTATTTCCCTTTTAGTGTGCCTAAGTCAACTCTCTTCTATCTTCTCATCTCATTCTTCATCAAAAATTCAATTGTGATTAAATGTTAAATCTCTCTTTAGTTTAGATAACTCCGTATGGTTCAACTTAGATACTCCTTAAACTATACTCATTAGTATCATTAGCAAGACATTCAAATTTTATAAATTTTATTTTTGGCACTCCTTAATTATGACATTTTGGAGCAATCACTATGATACAACAACTTATATGGTGAATGTTATATAAAATCAAAGAGGAGAGAGAAAATGGGTGGTTTTTTTCTTTTTAACCAATGTCTAATTATGATTTTTATTCGAGCATATATCATAAACTAAAAGGCCCCTCTTATATCAAACTAAGGAGGTAAAGCCAAAAAAGTCTACCATTAGAAGATTATAACTACTTTTCACATTAAATAAAAGGATCTAATATATGAATCTCATAAAACTAAATCTAATTTCCACTTTAAACAAGATGTAATGTAGAAAAAGATTCCCCTTATATGTAGAATCTCATAAGATGGACAAGAGCAAAATCTCAAAATGATTGGGCCTATTTACTTCTTGATTTTAAACAAAGCCAAAAACCTAAAGCTAAATTTTCATAGGTTGATGTTTAGACCTGAATTGTCTATTGTTAGGAAACATGATGAAGAGAATCAATCCATAGAACATAATGTAAAGAGATGATAGGTCTTAATAAGTCTTCATAATTATGAGTTAATAATTAATTAATAACATATTTTAAGCATTAACTAATGATACATAAACTTATATTTATGAAATTAGTTGATTAATGTGAATGTTTGGCTAATTATGTGATTTACTATGAATTTTTATCATTTTGAAATTCAAGTCTATGAGATAAAAATAAAATAAAATAAAAAAGAGAAAAAGGGGGGATTTTTTAGCCAACTAGGACCAACAATGACTTGGAGGGCACTACACATAAGTTGGAAGCAGGTTGAAAAATTATTATCTAAAATATTTGTACATTCAAAAAAAAAACATAGTTATGGCATTACTATTTAAGGGTATTCTTGTAAATAATTAATATTCTCTCCAAGGTGACTAGTGAAGTTTTGAATCTTGCCAAAGTCGTCGGAATCACTTGATCATCAATAAAATGTTTTTTGCCATTTGTGGATCATCGTTATGAACTGACTAAGAATTTTGAATTCAAAAATTACAAATTCTTTAAGAAAATCATTTCTGATTGATGATCACGATGAATGTGTTTCCATTGAAAACAAGGTGATTCATTAAGAGAGGAGTCATTATCCCCTCTACCTCCATCAAAGTCATGTCTACCAAGTGATAGCTGCCAAAGATCCAAAAGCTATTGAACTTTTGCTCCACCAAGCAGTAGTCCTCATAGACAATTTATCAACACTCTTTATCAATTTCTTGACTTTGCAAGAGGATCTATATATTTTTCACATCATCCATAATAAGGAGAGCCTTTGAGGCTATAGACATCACACAATAATTCTTCTAAATAATCAGAATTTTGGCAATTGCTGTCGCAACACTGAAACTTTTTTGTACTTATTTTAAACTTGATTGTTTCTTAATGTAGTACTCTTTTAGATTATTTAAAATTTTAAAAATCTTCTTTAGTCAATTATGATTCTTTTGATTTTTAAATTATAATTTGATCTTTTATGTCAATTGTAATCATTTATACAAGAATCATTAGACAAAAATAGCATTTCACTTCAATCATGTTTTTGGGATGTTGACTTCATCTTGACATATGCACCCAAATTTCTCTTTGTTATGAATTTTTAAATAGATTTTATATTCATCATTTAGTTTAAAATTTTTAAAAAATTACTCTTTGAGAAAAAAATTATTAATTTTTTAATATTATCTTACATATATGTGCTTGACTGAATAAAAATTCACTATTTTTGGAACCATTTATCAAATTAAAACTAATTGATTTTCACTAAAATGCTTTTAAATTTAAATATAAATATTTTTTCTACTTTAATTTTTTTAAATTTATATGATTTATTATACAAAGATTAGGTCACATCTGGTCTACACTTCTATGTGAATCTTCAAGCTTTCCTTGGTTTTACATTCACTTGTGATATTGGGAATAATTGATTCAAAAACATGAACAAAATTACAAAATTAGTTTTCCTAAGTTGATGCATGAATGACTGTCCTAGGCCTGCTTTGAAATCAATCCCGAAATAAAACCAGGGCTCATAATAATTTGACAGAGTCAGACTGGAGTGTCGACTTAGTTCCCCTTCTCATCATATCTCGTCAATAGGTACATACATGGGGGGCACTATGAACGTTATAATCATACATTGATGCTCGGTTTTAAGTTTTTCTCTGAACCCTGGCTTTGCTCATTGATAGTCCAGGGAATATCATGTTCAAACCATAAATAAGCATAAACTATTCATCTGTATCAATCCAAGAAGTCCTTTATGAACAGGATTTTTATTACTATCATCTATATCTTAATCAGGCTTGCCACAAACCTATACAACTTCACAACGTCAGAGAAACCCAAGGTTGGAAAGCCCAACCAGAACAAAGATGAATGGAATAAACGAAGCTATAAGGCCATATCGTGGGATAAATAAAAACATCTACTGATTGAGAGCGACACCAGGCTTTGAAACTGATCCTTGGATGCTCCTTGAGAAACCATGAATCCCACTCACTTAGCTGGGGAGCAGATGACTTGTGTGATTAGACTCTCATATGAGGAGTTAAAGACTTTATAAACAAAAGTTTCCAATTGGTAATATGAACTCGGACATCATTTATTCTAAGTTCCAGATCTGAGTGTGTATTGTATTTGGAACTAGGCCTGATAGCTATAATCCACTCATGCACCCCAGTGCACCATCTCACTGGGTTCATGAATCAGGTAATCTGTCTTTGGTCAACCAGCCAGTTTCGAACATACCTATCGAGAAAGGTTCGATTTACATCCTTATCCTGAGGGCTCCTCAATAAATACCCGTTTATATATTTGTGCATACATATATATGCATCTACACATATAATTAAAATGTGTAGAAGTAAATATGATATCATATTATATCATATATTTACATCTGCACCTGTCCGTTAATGCGGTATGAATATTCTAACATAAATAATATAGACATGTAATTGGTTTGATCCCAACAATTGCATGTGTCGCCTGAGTATATTTACAATTTGGGAAAGAGCGGAGAGGGACGTAGGGAAGAGAAAGCATCTCATTCCCTTCAACCAAAAACCTGAGAAAGGAGAGTTCTTTTGGGTCAACCCAGTGTAGAAATCTCCAATATAATCCTGACTCCTATATAAAAGTATCCAAACAACCGGTTTCTGGCGTACCCATCCAAAAGTGGGAGATCTCCAGCCCGCTATTTGACTTCCCCTCGATATAATTTTACATCCATATATCCCTATCTGTATAGATGAACGTATACGTTCAGATGTATGTGAATCGTATATTAGATGAGCCAGATATATAGATATAATAGTATGATTAGACAGACGCAAGTGTGAAAAACAGGAAAGGATCATGAAATTGGAAAATAAAATCAGTCACAGGTGATGGTTTATTCACTAAGAAATTCATCAGTTTGGGAATATTTCTAATCGGGAGGAAGAAAAGAAGGCCAGAGAGATGACAAAACCAGTCTCTCAGCCCCTTGAACCAAGAAAGTGAGAGAGGAGAGATCTTTGGGCTGATCAAGGCAAGAAATCTCTGATATAATCTTAGAAACTTTGTAAACATATTCAAATGATCGCTAACATGGCTGATCATCACCTCAGAGAAAAGGAGGAGATGACAGTTGGAAGGTCAGTTGGCAAGGACTTGCCAGATGAGCTCTGGATCGAAGGAGGGCATCTTGGCCAGAGAACACTCCCCATCGGCCTCCTCCATCAGGTAATCCCAGTTCATGGTGCTCTCGTCGGAGATGGAAGAAGACGAGGTCGAGTCGACCAGGCCGGTGAAAGAGTAGGCGGCCGGTGCGGCCCCCATCTCCCCATCCTCCTCCTCCTCCTCCTCCTCCACCTTTCTCTTCATCTCCGCGGGGGGAGGAGAGGAGGAGGATTCCGAGGCCTTCTTCTTGCTCCGCCTCTCCCGGTTCAGTCTCTGGTAGATGGCCTGGATTTTGGCGTCCACGGAGGACCTCAGAGCACCGAGGCGGCACCCAGCGGCGGCGCCGCTGGTGTCCCGGAGGTCGGGGAAGTTGAGTCGCGCGTACTCGCCGCGGAGCTTGTAGGCGGCGCGGTCGTAGGCGTAGGCGGCTGCCTCTGCGGAGTCGTATGTGCCAAGCCAGACCCTCATGCGGTTCTGGGGCAGCCTGATCTCCGCCACCCACTTTCCCCAGTGCCGCTGCCGCACTCCGCGGTAGTGCTTCGCCTCCTTCTTCGGCCAGGCGGCGGAGGAGGAGCTATGGCGCTGCCCCATCAGTCTCTGGAGCTGCTCCAGCTGATAGTGGTAGACCGCCGAGGAGGTGCGCAGCGCCTGGTGGCGCCGCTGCTGGTCAGGAGGGGACTTGGCTGAGAAGACGGAGTCCAGAGCGCTGGAGCTTCCAGAGAGGAGGATATCCGAGAGAGACGCTCCGAAGGAGGCGCAGCCGGCAAGACCCACATCGCCGGCGCCGGAGAGGAAGGGAGGTCCCTTCGGCCTCTGCGGTATTCTCTCCATCAATCGATCGATCGATGTTCTCTATTCAACTCAAAGACTCAGAAGACCTCGAGAGGGAAGATGGCTGCAATGACCGGTGTGGGGAAGGCTCTGAAGATGCCGGTTGTCTTCAGCTATGACGACGGTGGAACAGGGGGAGCCTGTCTACTTATACAGCTTCGCCCCCTTCCCTCCCTGACGTCACTCCCACCATCATAATATTTTTTTCGTTTCCCGTTATTCTTAGAACAAAAACAGTCGTGCGGCCACAATTCGACGAGTCGATGGGCTATCAGATTATCGCCATCTTAACGGGGGGGGCCCACAACACATCCGTACCCTAACAGGAATGGACAATTATCAAAAAAAAATTGTGTTAATATTACTTGAATTATAATTTATTTTAATATCTTCGCGAAGATTTCGGACAAGCAGAAGCTCCTCTCCTACTCCCATTTTTCAATAAAAATATTAAACCACGCGTTTTTTTATTTTCTTATGGCCTAAGTGGTGGGGCCCTGTGCTGTAATGCGACCGCTGGTACACGGCTCCCTCATGGACCCGCACACGTCCGGATCAGGATACATAAGAAATACCATGAAATAAATGGGCCTAAACCAAAGAAAGGTCGCAGTTCTCCATCGACGTGGCCTCTTCTTCACCAGCCACATGTCGGCAACATGACTATTCATTCCACCGCCCCCATGAACATAACCACATATCTTGGAGCTCGTCTCCAGTGATTAGCGATGAGCCAGACAAGCCACCGTGCTGGTTCCCCCCTACCCCGCCCCCGCCCTCTCTCCCCCTCTCTCTCCGCCACGTGCTGATCCCTTCTTTGTCAATGCATTACACATGGCTACCTGTCTGCTCGCCACATGGCAAGCAGGGCTCCCCACTCGGTGCTCATCTGAATCTCCTCAGTTAAAAGAAGCCGGGTTCCGTAATGTAGTAGATAATTAATTAACCCTTAAGTAAAAAAAGTGTCTATTTTTAATTATTTTTTGCGATTTTTTAATATCTGCCGTTCAACTTAGACAAAATCAGGATGCCCATCCCACAGAATCCCATCAGCCATCGTCTTATCTCATGGAAGGATTTGGCTGGACCACAGTGGATGAAGGAAGGAAGGCTACAGGTGTCTAGATAGGACAATCAATACTTAAAGGCGAATAATCTCTTCATCATAAGCCGTGGGTGGGGTCCTGCTGACGTAAGATGGATCTACTTTGATCGTGATCTCCTTTAGATGAGGCAATAAATCTCCCGTCAACGTTTAATTGATTGGGTTAATATTTGATTCGATCCGGAAGATCTGATCTAACATGATCTAATCTAATCTAGATTGACGCTGGGAATCTATATCTCGTTCTGTCGCCATTTGGTCCAATTGCTACTCAAATTTCCCTCCACGTGTCAATGGATTACCATCCCACTTCTCTTAATGCTCTCTCATCCCCTGCTTGGGGTCAAATCTCATCTCTCTCTCTCTCTGGGATTAACCGTACGTGTTGGACGAGGTCATTGCGGGGCATACCCACTTGATTCTCGGCTCCGATGGCGCGCTGGCCAATCGCCGTCATCGCCACTGCTGACTGAGAAATTTATGGTCAACGGAGTGGAGAAGTTGAAAATTCTCACGTCATCGGTGATGTCTGGGCATTCACTGCAAAAAGTCATTTTTCGCCAGTACGGCGCCTGTCCGCCCCTCACAAAACCCGCCGTTGACCAGAACGCGCCGCTGGCATCGGCGGAACCCAGCCCCTCACACCAGCTGCCGCCAAGCCGGCCGTTTTCTCCGGCAGCTGTTTTCCCTTCTTTCGTTTAGACTAAAAAGAGTAAAAAAAATATATGTAAAAAAAAAAACAACCCGGCGGATTTCAGATGGTATTTCCTCGAAATAATTCGTTAGATATTTATCACCATTAATACACACATCGACACGATAATTTATTCAAGTTCCTTCTTCAGACTGAATAAGAGCCGTTGGTGTTCTGCACCGCTACATGATTCTTTTACAGGCACGTAATATCTACGTATTGCTGATGTACTTACTTCGAAAAAGACACGTATCCATACCTTGCCCCGTACACCCCACCCCGTATAAAATATATTCTCTTCGGCAATTCGAAGGGATGGATTCGTATATTTATTTTGAAACATTAAAATAGAGTAAATGTGCGCGCTCTTATCACGGTCCACGCCGGTCGTTTTCGGTTGGGACCGAGTGCTTCTGAGCCGGCTCAGCGGTTGGCTGTTGACTGTTCTCTACGCGCCTGCTGCCAACGGGCCGCCATCGGATTTCCAGCTCGCCACACGGCATTGGTCTCTCAAAAGCCGTCTTTTGTCTGTCTCCCAATTATCGAACCACAGCCTTTAGCGGATGTATTTAGGCGTTCACACTTGTTGACCTCGACAACTTGACTGCCACCATCCGCGCAGGGCGGTGCTTTCCCTTCCAAATGTTGAAGAAACCGGCCCTAGGACGTTTGGTGGACTCTCAGCTCTGGAAGGTTTCTAGGAATAATAAATAAAAATTATTCAATACAACGTCACTTTCTCACTATTACGACTATTATTAATCAAAGAACCTGAAAATCTACGTTAAACTATAAGTATATATTTTTCTTTGCCTTATTAAGCCACTGAACTACGAGCTTGTTTGATGGAGAGGATGCTCAACAAAGAGCGTGCCGAGGGCCCACAGAATCCCTCTCCCATGGAATTGAAAGACCTCGTGAGGAGCATTCTCCAAGGGTCAACGAGGGTGTTAGTTGGTTGTTCTAGGTGAATCAAGAGTGACGACAGTAAGGGCAACTTGGGCTTCCAGAAGAAGCTGATCAGGACTGATACTGCCGACACCAAGCTCTCATGGACGAGAGGAAGAGGGGTGGGCTGGAGGATTGAACTCCTTGTCTGTTCACAGCTTTGTACTGGTAGTAGATTGAGCAGGGCCCAAGCCCTTGATCAAGTGAGGTCCTGCGATGAATAGGATTATGATCAAATCTAATCTCTCAGATATATATATCTATACTTAAATAATATGTACATATCTCTAGAGAGAGAGAGGTCATTTCCAGCTGGTTGGTTGAAGAGGTGCAGCGATGGTCAGGTGTGTAGTAGACACACATTGGCCGAATAGTAGTTTTATTTGTTCGTCATAATAGATATAATATTAAATGAATCGGAATGGTATCCTACTGGCTCCTTCCTCCCTACCCTCGACATATTGACGGCGCCGCTGTTCAAGGTGATGTCATCCGAGCTGAGTGTTGATGTCGGACAGATGACACCACCACACCGAGTGTCGGAAGGCGGGGAGGCGTAGTTTGTATCTTGGTCATGATAGATATAAGGCAGATAAATGTGTCGAGTAATATCTTAGTGGCTCTCTCCGATCGCGTTCGCGACATAATGACGTCATAAAATGTCCGCGAACGGAATCATTTCGATTCTCTTTTCTCCGTTCGGCGCTTCAACAGGAGGTATGACCTGTTCTGAGGATCTCTGTCTGCGTTGACCACGGCTGTCATGTTCAATGAAAGGGAGAGAGAGAGAGAGAGAGAGAGGCCTCCTTCCTGATGAGGAGGGAGGCTCGATGATGTCCACAAATTCTTCAAAGAACCTTGACGAGGCAGAATGAGGTCCTATGAAGCCTCAAGGGTGTTCAAGAAAAGGAGGAGGAACGGAGTGGGGGTGTTTCACCCGAATTCAGTCAAAAGACGTCTAGAACAAGTGTTCTTTACAGGTACTAGAGACTTCGTGGGGCGCGGTCATGCATCTGTTTTTTTTACATATGTGAGGCGGCTGTCAAAATCTTGGCGGGCCAACGTTTGCCGAGATTGACGGAGCAGGTCGGCCGTGGGGAGAACATCACAGTTGACTCTAGGCTTTGAGAAATTGTTTATTGGGTGTGGGTGTAATTCCTTGGGAGCATATAAGAAAGGCCATCTTATGGCCAAAGTGAGGCCACGCCTTTGTAAATATCTCTTTCAGAAAAATCAAACCTCCATTCGGTAACATTTATCTGCCTAAATATTTATACGCATATACAGGAAGTTATAATACAAAAAAGTAAAATTGCAGATATAATTGAAAAACCGTCACGTGAATTTTAATGTCCAAAAATTTTATGATCTCTATACCCCCTCATACCCAATTAATTTATGTTAATCTGGAAAATCCAGTGATAAAATTTAAATCCTGCAAAATTTAAAGAATCCAATTCATCGTACTCTCGAATTTTTCGGATATTTTTCTTCTAGAGAGCAATGATTATCGCAACAACAAGGGAAACAATTCGAAATAAACTCGAAAACTTTAGAGAAAACTAAACGCAGGTTGAATACGGGGCATCAACATACCTCGCTAAGGATTACAACATTCTTGAAATACGTTTTACTCCTTTTTGTTTGAACGTGACATCTCGTCACATCAGAGGTAGAGGGGCAGATTAGAACAGAGATATCAATGCATCATTTTCCTTGGAGGATACCAGGAATTTTCCAGCAATGAGTTGGGAAGTCTCGACACACCGCACTAGGTTGCATGAATTTAGTTCCCTGGCGCCCATCTACATCTTCAACCGTCGTGTGAAAGGAAAGTACAGAGAATAATCTGCCCCTCCTCATGAATGAGTAGGAAAGTACGGAGATGTTACTCGTCATGGTGGCCCGTTAGGGAGATTAAATCTTGTCTCCCCTCCTCTAGTGGTTGACTGGGACGGAAGAGTCCTCAACACCGACCCTAACCGGTTAACCGTATCCACTCAAGTTCATCCCCCCACTGGTGTGAGATGGTGATCGCACCTCCTCCATCCATCCTCTTATACATTTAATCTGAACGCAAAACATTAGGTTGTGAATAATCTATGGGGCCCTTCCCTGCTCATAAAGTCCTAGTGAACGTACCATGCCTTCAGGTGCACTCCCTCCTTTTCTCCCCCTCGCTGGTTTCATGTTACCTACTGTGTGCATGATACTGGGGCCCCCAGTGAGGCCTTTCGTCAAACATATACTGTA